CAAGAAGGTGCGCGGGGCCCGGCAACAGGGCGGGTCCAGGGGCATAGCCAGGACTGCGGGGCAGGTCCTTGGGCGTGGTCAGGGCCTGGGGCACGCCCAGCGGTCCCCTGCGGCCCCTCCAACCGGCCCGCTCGTTGCCCGCAGGAGATCCCGCGCAGCACGCTGGACTCGTTCATGCAGCCCTTCCAGAGCACCCTGTGGCTGCTCGTCGGGCTGTCAGTGCACGTGGTGGCCGTGATGCTGTACCTGCTGGACCGCTTCAGGTGAGCCGCGGCCGGACACCTGCCGCAGAGGCCGTGGGGACTGGCCGGAGGGCCTCGCCAGCTCTCCCGCCCCCTCTGCCGCCCCCTCTCCCGCCTGCCCTCTGCACCCTGCAGCCCCTTCGGCCGGTTCAAGGTGAACAGCGAGGAGGAGGAGGAGGACGCGCTGACCCTGTCCTCCGCCATGTGGTTCTCTTGGGGCGTCCTGCTTAACTCCGGCATCGGGGAAGGTGAGGCTGCGGCTGGCGCCCGGCTGCATGCTGTCCTCTCTCCTGGGGCGTTAGCAGCGGTGGGGAGTTGACGGGTGCCGTGCCCGCAGGCGCCCCTCGGAGCTTCTCAGCGCGCATCCTGGGCATGGTGTGGGCCGGCTTCGCCATGATCATCGTGGCCTCCTACACCGCCAACCTGGCGGCCTTCCTTGTGCTGGACCGGCCGGAGGAGCGCATCACGGGCATCAACGACCCGCGGGTGAGGCGCGGGTGGGCGGTGCGGGTGGGCGGGCGCGCGAGGCGCTGGCGGGTGGGCGGTGCGGGTGGGCGGTCGCGCGAGGCGCTGGCGGGCGGGCGGGCGTGGATGCGTGGACCAGGGGAGCACAGCTTTCTGACCCGCAGCTGCGGAACCCGTCGGACAAGTTCATCTACGCCACGGTGAAGCAGAGCTCCGTGGACATCTACTTCCGGCGGCAGGTGGAGCTCAGCACCATGTACCGGCACATGGAGAAGCACAACTACGAGAGCGCGGCCGAGGCCATCCAGGCGGTGCGGGACAAGTGAGTGCGGGGGCGGCTGGGCGCGTGAGCAGGACTCCTGGGCTGGGCCACCCAGCCTGACCCCGCGCCCGGCCCGCAGCAAACTGCATGCCTTTATCTGGGACTCGGCGGTGCTGGAGTTCGAGGCGTCGCAGAAGTGTGACCTGGTGACCACGGGCGAGCTGTTCTTCCGCTCAGGCTTCGGCATCGGCATGCGCAAGGACAGTCCCTGGAAGCAGAATGTATCCCTGTCCATTCTCAAGTGAGGCCGCCCCGCCCTGCGCCAGGTCCTGCCCAGTTCTGCCAGGCCCGCCCCGCTCACGCAGCCCCACCCCGCAGGTCCCACGAGAACGGCTTCATGGAGGACCTGGACAAGACGTGGGTGCGGTACCAGGAGTGTGACTCCCGCAGCAACGCCCCGGCAACCCTCACCTTCGAGAACATGGCAGGTGGGCCTCGCTCTCCAGGCCGCGCCTCGCTGCGCGGGGGACGCAGGCGCTCGGCCTGCAGCTGAGCCCTTGGCTTTGGCCCCCAGGGGTCTTCATGCTGGTGGCCGGGGGCATCGTGGCCGGCATCTTCCTGATCTTCATCGAGATCGCCTACAAGCGGCACAAAGATGCACGCCGGAAACAGATGCAGCTGGCCTTTGCAGCTGTGAACGTGTGGCGGAAGAACTTGCAGGTAGGGCAGGCCACCCCCCCGAGGCCTGGAGCCCAGGGCCCGGCCTGGCCACCCCGCCCTCCTCCGGCCCACAGGCGCAGGCGGTGGCACTGGCTCTGGCTCCCACGGTTGGCGGGGGAGGGCCGCCACCTGCAGGTGCCTCCAGCGGCGGCAGAGCAGGGCCCGGCGTGGCTGTGCCCACCCTACTCCACGCCTCCAGCCAGCCCCCTTGAGTCCAGAGCCAGAGGAGGCATACAGGCAGGGTAAGACGTGGCCCGCTGGGCCCAGCACCTGAGCCCCAGGTGCACTGTGCCCCCACGGCTGTGTCCCTGTGCCCCATGGGCCCAGGGCACTCCGCGGGTGCACAGTCGGCCAGGGGCCCCTCTGCTCGTCTCTCATTCTCCGTCTGGGTGCCGACCCGAAGCGTGTGTCTGGAGCCGGGGCCAGCCCGCGCTAAGGGCTGAGCCCCCCACAACGCTCATCCGCCCATTCTTGTTCTTGGGGGGCACTAGGCCCCTGTTCCATCCTCACTCCTGCCTTCACCCCCTCCTTGGGGGCCGGCGTCCTCTGCATTCCACGGCTGGCCGGGCCCGGGGCAGCTCCCTTCCTCCTCCTCCTCCTCCTCTTCCTCCCCCCAGCCCCCATGCCCAGCCCCAGCGCCAGCCAGGTCAGGCCCGAGCCCGTGCTGGGCCCATCCGTCCAGCGCAGGGAGGCAGGCAGGAGCGAGGGCCCGTGCGGCCGCCACCCCTAGCCATCTAATCACTTATACATATTCATTTTAGGATAGAAAGAGTGGTAGAGCAGAGCCTGACCCTAAAAAGAAAGCCACTTTTAGGGCTATCACGTCCACCCTGGCTTCCAGCTTCAAGAGACGTAGGTCCTCCAAAGACACGGTAAGGGGGAGAGTGCCCGTCCGTCTCCGACTGCTCCCTCCCCCGCCCTCCGTGTCTGTCTGCCCTCCCCTCGTCCCTCCGCCCCGCCCGAGCCGGGCCTGCACCCACACGGGCCCTGCGCCGCCCTCCAGGCCGCCCGGCCACCTCCCCGTGTGTCTCCCATGAGTCTGCCCCGCCCCCATGCCATGACCCACACGCCATCGAAGCCGTGTCTGTCTTGGTCGGTCAGCCAGCCAGCCTCACCGCCGTGCCCGTGGTGGCCAGGCCACCGCCCCGCGAAGCCTCCTGCAGGGGGCCTGCCGCCCTCACCCCAGGCCCGCTGCGGCCCCGTAGGGGCGGCTGTGATGTCCCATCCCGTCCGTCTGTCTGGCCGCCGGCCCCGCCCCCAGACACCTGTCTCACCTCTCGCCAGAGCCATGCCTGTCGCATCCTCCATGTGGTCTCTGTGTGGGCTGGGGGCTGGGGGCTGGACGGCCGGGGCCCGGACATGGGGGACAGTGCCAGGTGGGGGATGGGTGGCACCGTGTGGGTGGCAGCAGCCCCCAGGGCTCTGAGCACAGGGAGGGCAGCCCGCAGAGTCCCTTGCCACCAAGGCTCCCGATGGGAGGTAGCCCCCAGCCCAGGGCTACTGCTGCAGCCTGGCCTGTGCGACTGGGCCCTTTGCCTCCTGCCTGCCTCCGGCAGCTTATCTGGGTACCGGCTACCAGCTAGGCATGCTTGGGCTGGAGGCCCTTGAGACAGACCCAGCCTGGCTGGAGGCGGCATGGCAGGGAGGGACCGCCCAGAGCCAGCTATCCAGGGACCGACTTAGCCTCTGGCCTCCAGGAAAGCCCTGGACCCCAAGGGGGCCAATGCCCCAGGGAGCAAGTGGGAGCTGCAGCCGCCCCCCAGCGCAGGCCCAGGCTCCAGGTGCCCCAGGAAGGTTGCGCTGCTCCGCGGCCGGGGGCGGGGTGTGCGCGGCCTGCGGCCAGGTGTGAGCCCAGGCCAGCCAGCCTGTAGGGGGCTGCGGGGTCCTCCTAGCGCTGTCGGCGGAGCAGGTGATCAGCCACCTGCCCTCAGCGGTTCCCGGAGCTGACGCAGGGTCACGTTCCCGAGGAATGCCCCCCTCTGGGGCCGGCCCCAACCCCCACTCCGCGCCGCAGGGCTGGGCCAGTGGGGCAGCAGCGCGGGGGAGGGCACCTGGCGGGGTCGGGGGTGATGGGGGGTGGGACTGGGGGCGGGGGTTGTCGTCTGCCCCTGCCCCGTGGCCGGCGTGGGCCCGGGCAGCCTGGGCGCTCAAGGCTGGGACCCCCGCGGTATTGACTGTTGGTTCTTATTTATAGAGCGCCGGGGGCGGACGCGGCCCCTTGCAACACCAAAAAGACACGGTGCTGCCGCCGCGCGCTGCTGAGAGGGAGGAGGGCCCGCTGCAGCTGTGCTCCCGGCATAGGGAGAGCTGAGACGCCCGCCCCCCCCGCAGACAGACACACGGACGGGACAGCGCCCGCCCTCGCCCAGCCCGGAGCCTCCCCGGCCGCGCCCGGCCGGCCGCCCTGCCCCCGGCGCGTGCGCGCGCGGGGCTAACCGCGCTGTCTGTGTATTTCTATTTTGCAGCAGTACCACCCCTCTGATATCACGGGCCCGCTCAACCTCTCAGATCCCTCGGTCAGCACCGTGGTGTGAGGCCCCCGGAGGCGCCCACCTGCCCCGTTAGCCCGGCCAAAGGACACTGGTGGGTCCTGCTGCTCGGGAAGGCCCGCCCGAGGGAAGCCCCAGAGACTGCCCGCCCAGGGCCTCCTGTCTGCCCGCCTGACCCCCGCTCGCTGCCTGGCGGGCAGCCCCTGCTGGACTGGAGCGGCTGAGGACGGGCCCGAGCTGAGCCGGCTGGGCAGGGCCACAGGGCGCTCCGGGAGAGGCAGGGCCCGGGGTCTCCGAGCAGTGGGATGAGGGGACTCCCTGGCCGGGCCGGGGGCTGGGAGCGCAGGGATGGTCCGGGAGCCCGTCGCTCCCCAGCCACCCATCACCCCGAGGCCCGCGGGGGGCCGCCGCAGCCGAGCTCCAACTTCTCCTGCCCGCGCATCCTCCTTCCCCCTCCGCGCGCCACCGCCCGGCCCTGCCCTGCCCCCTCTACCCAGGGGTTGTCGGGGGTCTCCCCGTCAGACTGAGGGGCTGGGCCTCCGCTCCGCCGGCTGCCCAGGCTGGGCTCCGCCAGACGGCGACTCCGGACTGTCTCCCGCCTCTGCCCCGCACGCCCGCCACCGCGTCCCAGACCCGCCCGCGCAGTGTCTGAGCGCGAGCCTTCCCCAAGCGCCCCCCTCCCGCCCCCACGTCGTGTGCCGTGGTGATGCCTAAAGGAATGTCACGAAGCCTGGGCCAGTGTTGCTTGTTGACGCCCGTGGAGAGCAAGGGGAGGACCGGGGTGTGGGGCGGGAGAAGGGCCGGGGGCGGCCAGCAGCCGGCTCAGAGGTCGGCAGCTCCGCCGGCAGGGCTCCCGGCGTTCTCCGGCGGGGCAGGGCCGCCAGGGTCGATGTCCAGCGGCCTCCTTGGCCGGCGACGGGCGGCCGCTTGCCGACGGCGGCGGCGCGCACGGCAGGCAGCGAGCGTGCAGCCCAGCGCCAGGCAGGAGGCCAGGCTGGCGAGGAAGGAGACGGGCCCGAGTGTGTAGATGACTGCCAAGTCGCGCGCGGCGAGCGACTGCGCGCAGTGTCGGAAGGCGGCGTCGGGGAGAGCGGTTAAACGACTGAGTGTCAGACGTCTCGGGGACGCGCAGAGCAGCGGCTCGGTCTCTGCAGATCACAGGCAGTGTCAGACTGCGTCCGCGCCCTCTCCCGACCCGCCAGGCTCACACCCCCGATGGCTCACCTGAGGCAGGCCGCGGGTGCCGGCGCAGCCATGTGCAGAGCGGGCGCAGCGCACAGTCACAGGTCCACGGGTTGCCGCGCAGGGTAAGCGCGTTAAGAGAGGGCAGGGCGGCCAGCAGACTGGGCGCGAGCGTGGACAACGCGTTGTTCTGCAGGCTGAGCACGCGCAGCAGCGGGAGTGTGCCCAGCGCCGTGGGCTCTAGGCGTGCCAGCCGGTTGCCCGCTAACGAGAGAGTGCGCAGCGCGCGCAGCGGCGCAAAGGTGCCCGGTGCCAATGCCTCTAGCTGGTTGATGCTCAGATCGAGCTGCTGCAGCGCGCTCAGGCCCCAGAAGGCGCGAGCGTGCACCCAGCCCAACCTGTTCCCGCTCAGATCCAGCTGCACAAGTGCGTCCGCGTCAGCAAAGGCGCCGGGCAAAAGCAATTGCAGAAGGTTGTGGTCCAGCAGCAGGGCGCGCATTTGCCGGTTCAGGCCCGCCGGCACCGCGGGCAGTTCCCGGGCTGAGCAGTTGGCCTGGCCGCCTGGAGCACACGCACATGCCTCGGGGCAGTCTGGGGGGTCTGTGACCCTCACGGAGGTAGCCTGGATAGGCGCCTGTGGGGAAACTTGTCCCGGCCACAGCAGCAGTGGCCACAGTGGCAATAACCATGAGAAAAATGCTGGTCCCAGCATCGGGCTGTCTCCGGACCACAGCGGGGAGGCCGTCCTGAGAGCCCGTCCCTGTGGCGCCTGCACCAACACTGAACTGTCCCCACCCGAGCGTCTGCAGTTCCTGTCCCATGGCTGCTCCCGTGCTGGGGCGGGGGCCAGGCACGCAGCCAGCAGCCGGCCCCGCCAGCCACCTGTCCCGGAGCTCCGCACTCGTGACCAGCCACCCAGCCACCGCGCTGACCAGATAAGTCCCCACCCCACAACACCCCGCCCTGGTGCCCCCAGCGGGAAGCTCAGCAGGGAGACCACCACCCCACCCCTGGCGCCTAGCCCCTCGCTCTATTGGTACCCACTCAGCCTCAGTCAGGTAGCCGTCCCCCACCCAGGAGGACTGGTTCCAGGCCCAGGATGGGCTCCTGGTGAGGGCATGAGGGCACAGTCCCAGGAACCTGGGAATCTGAGGGGACCCTGGGAGCAGCCCAGGGGCACCACCCAGGTCCTGTGATGGGTGTTCCCTTTTATGTTGACTCTTGTGGATCCTAGGGTGGGGACAGTGAGCATGGGATGGGCAGGACCCCCAAAGCTTCCTGGAACAGCCACAGGGAGGAGCTGGGTGCAGAGGGCACATCAAGGGCACGGGCCTTGCCCTTCACTCCCACGTGCGGCAGCAGCCTGAAGAAGGGAAACCACGACCACTAAATACTGTTTAATCCCCGGCCCTGCAGCCCCGGCCTACTGAGGGGGCGGGGGCGGGGGCGGCTCCTCCAGGGAAGGGTCCATGCTTAGCAGGCCCTGGTCCTCGAGCGGCGCCGTCACGGACACCTCCATGTCAGGGTCCATGAGGCGCGACTCCACGTGCACTGTGTGCAGGTCCATGCGGTCCTCCTGGACCCCGAAGTGGCCCACCAGCCTGCAGGGCGGGGGTCTGGTCAGTGCCAGCCTCAGGGGCAGGGCCTGCGTGGCCCTGCTCACCCCGCCCCCATCCCCAGGCACTTACCTGCTGTCTATACGCCCAGGACACGTCTCACTGAGGGAACAAACACAGGCATGAGCCTGGGCCCTGCCCCCCGCCGCACACGCCCCACTCCCAGCCCTGGGGCTCACGCACCCCTTGGCCCGCAGGACTCCAATGGCCACGATGATGAGCGCACACAGGCAGCTGGCACTGACCCCCGCCAGCACCACGATCAGGGCAATGAGGGCCTCACGGCTGAGGCCGAGGCTACAGTCACAGTAGGTCCCAGCTGCAGAGACAGGGCCTCAAGTCACCTGCCTGCCCTGGCAGGACTCCCCTGCCTACGGGGGGTGGGGAGGAGGGATGAAGCAGGAGGAGGCACCTGTGGCAGGGACGAGCCAAAGGGACAGGTAGATCAGGCCCAGGGGGCTGCCCAGGGGACTGGCAGGCAGGCAGGAGTCGGGCTGGGGCCAAGGTGCCATGTCCAACCCCCAGCTGCAGCGCACACCTCTGGAGAGAACTCAACGGAAGGCGCTGACCTCACAGTGGGGCTGTGAGGCTGGGGGGAGGGGAGGGCAGGGATCGGGCACGGGATGGCAGCGGGAGCAGGCTCTGTGGGTCTAAGTGGCAGCACAGGAGTTCCTGGCTGGTGGGGCAGGCCTGGGGCCCCCAGCCAGATCTGAGGCGGGAGCACTGGCAACACAGGGGAGGGGAGGCAGAGCCGCCAGGTGCCTGGCAGTCCTGACCTCAGGTGGCCTGTGCGGTCCAGCTGCTGGCACAGCACCACCTGCCCGGGATGGGGCACAAAAGGGCCAGGGCCTTGTGTCCGCTGCCCTCCTCCAGACAAGAGGCTCTGAAGTGGCCTCAGGTACCACTGTCTGGCCCAGGTGTCACATGGGGTCCGCCATCCCCAGGGCTTGCTGCTTTTGTGAGGAGAGAGGGTGGCGGGGCAACCTGCTCCCACCTGGGGCCTCCCTCCTCCCTGGGGATCTAGCCACAACCACCAGCCAGCATAGGAAGTGCCCCCCACCCCTGCCAGGGGGCAGGGCCTCAGCAGTGCCACAGGACAAGGGTGTCCCTCTGGGGTCCCTGGGGAAGCCCTGACAGCTTGGGACACCTGCCAAGTGGTGCCAGACCCAGGACACGCCCTCACCTCTGGGACATTGCCACAACACCAAGCACAAAGTGTTCCCGGAGCTGGGGCTGGCACGCTGCCCTGCCCAGCCAGCTCAGCAGGTTTGTATCCTGCTGAGGACAGAGCGCTTGGCCAGGGTCAGTGAGCGGCCGTGCCGAGAGCAGAACCCACGGCTCCCAACAGCCTCAGGAGAGGACCCCAGGTCCAGCCAGACCCACTAACAGGCTGCTACCAACACCGTGTGCCCCGTCCCTGTCATGTCTGCCAAGCCTTGAGGCAGTCCCCAGAGCACCAGGCGGACCAGGGGGCCATAAACCCAGCCCAGACATGGAGCCAGGCCTGGGAGGGGCTCACTGGGGCCAGTGCCCGGGCTGGACCCTGCCATAGCCTTCCCTCAAGCCTCCCATACGGGACTCTGGTGCCCTGAGCCCTCCAACAGACCCTGCCCTTGCCACACGCCCATGACACAGACATTCCCCAAGCTCCGTCCCCGCACAGCCCACAGATGCCAAGGTTCCAGGTCAGGTCCCCTTACCCAGAGGCCACGCCACATCCCACATCGGTGCAGTCCACCCAGCCCGGCACGAGGGTGAAGGGACGTGTCCAAGGAGTACACAAAGCCACAGGCAGGGAAGGAGGTCTCAAGCTGCTTTATGGGCCACTGGGGGAGGGGCCAGCCAGGGCGTCGGGTCGGGAGCTGGGCCGGCCGCCCTTCCTGGGGCTGGGCAGGGCACTGGGCTTTCAGCCACAGGACTTGGGCAGGCGGTAGACGCCGGCGGCGTAGACGAGCTGCTGGTCACGCACCTTCTTCTGCAGGAAGCTCTGGAGCTCCTGCAGGTCGATCTCGGCCAGGGCCGGCCCCGTCATGACGAACATGCGCAGCATGCTGTAGATGCGCTCCAGCGACAGGCTCTCCAGGTTGGTCAGCATGGCCTGGATGTAGGTCCAGAAAAGCTGCGGGAACGCCGGTCCTCAGCGGGGTGCTCCGCCGTGCCCCCACCGCTGTCCTCAGCGGGGTGCTCCGCCGGCCGCCCCTGCCCTCAGCGGGGTGCTCCGCCGTGCCCCCACCCCTGCCCTCAGCGGGGTGCTCCGCCGTGCCCCCGCCCCCACCCCTGCCCTCAGCGGGGTGGTCCGCCGTGCCCCCGCCCCTGTCCTCAGCGGGGTGCTCCGCCGTGCCCCCACCCCTGTCCTCAGCGGGGTGCTCCGCCGTGCCCCCACCCCCACCCCTGCCCTCAGCGGGGTGGTCCGCCGTGCCCCCGCCCCTGTCCTCAGCGGGGTGCTCCGCCGTGCCCCCGCCCCCACCCCTGCCCTCAGCGGGGTGCTCCGCCGTGCCCCCGCCCCCACCCCGGCCGCCCACACACCAGCAGCTCCTCCTCCTTCTGATCGGCCTGCGAGGCCATGCCCGAGTCGCTCTCATCGTCACTGTCGATGAGCACCATGTTTTCGCGGTCCTGCGGCCGCTCCTCCTCCACCACCGTGAAAGTTCCGGCCGGCTCCTCGCGCAGCACGCCCTGCTGCAGCCACACGGCCAGACGGCGCCGCAGCAGCGCCACTGGCATCTTCACCACCTTGCTCAGCTCCTCCAGGGTCCAGCTGGCTGCAGGTGGAGAGCAGGATGCTGGGCCGACCACGCCCACCGGCAGAGCCCCGGGCTGGGCCCCATGCGTGAGAGGCACGCAGCTCACCTTGGTCCTGAAAGTAGAGCAGGATCACGGCCTGCACGGGGGTCACAGCCACGGACAAGGTGCGGTCAGCCAGCTCTACATCCATGGTCACCAGACCCAGGGTGTGCTTCCAGCTCAGGGTCCGCATGGCCTGTGGGAGACCGGGCTCAGCCAGAAATGCACTGGCTCCCAGCACACGTGGGCTTAGCACCCAGCACTGGGGGAGCACAGCCCTCAGGACAGGAGCACAGCCCTCAGGACAGGAGCACAGCCCTCAGGACAGGAGGAGCACAGCCCCCAGGACAGGGGGAGCACAGCCCTCAGGACAGGAGCACAGCCCTCAGGACAGGAGGAGCACAGCCCTCAGGACAGGAGGAGCACAGCCCCCAGGACAGGAGGAGCACAGCCCTCAGGACAGGAGCACAGCCCTCAGGACAGGAGCACAGCCCTCAGGAGAGGGGGAGCACAGCCCTCAGGACAGGAGCACAGCCCTCAGGACAGGAGCACAGCCCTCAGGACAGGAGCACAGCCCTCAGGACAGGAGCACAGCCCTCAGGACAGGAGGAGCACAGCCCTCAGGACAGGAGGAGCACAGCCCTCAGGACAGGAGGAGCACAGCCCTCAGGACAGGAGCACAGCCCTCAGGACAGGAGGAGCACAGCCCCCAGGACAGGAGCACAGCCCTCAGGACAGGAGCACAGCCCTCAGGACAGGAGGAGCACAGCCCTCAGGACAGGAGGAGCACAGCCCTCAGGACAGGAGGAGCACAGCCCCCAGGACAGGAGCACAGCCCTCAGGACAGGGGGAGCACAGCCCTCAGGACAGGAGCACAGCCCTCAGGACAGGAGGAACACAGCCCTCAGGACAGGAGCACAGCCCTCAGGACAGGAGCACAGCCCTCAGGACAGGAGCACAGCCCTCAGGACAGGAGGAGCACAGCCCCCAGGACAGGAGCACAGCCCTCAGGACAGGAGCACAGCCCTCAGGACAGGAGCACAGCCCTCAGGACAGGAGCACAGCCCTCAGGACAGGAGGAACACAGCCCTCAGGACAGGAGCACAGCCCTCAGGACAGGAGGAGCACAGCCCTCAGGACAGGAGCACAGCCCTCAGGACAGGAGCACAGCCCTCAGGACAGGAGCACAGCCCTCAGGACAGGAGGAGCACAGCCCCCAGGACAGGAGGAGCACAGCCCTCAGGACAGGAGCACAGCCCTCAGGACAGGAGCACAGCCCTCAGGACAGGAGCACAGCCCTCAGGACAGGAGGAGCACAGCCCCCAGGACAGGAGGAGCACAGCCCTCAGGACAGGAGGAGCACAGCCCTCAGGACAGGAGCACAGCCCTCAGGACAGGAGGAGCACAGCCCCCAGGACAGGAGGAGCACAGCCCTCAGGACAGGAGGAGCACAGCCCTCAGGACAGGAGCACAGCCCTCAGGACAGGAGGAGCACAGCCCCCAGGACAGGAGGAGCACAGCCCTCAGGACAGGAGGAGCACAGCCCTCAGGACAGGAGCACAGCCCTCAGGACAGGAGGAGCACAGCCCTCAGGACAGGAGGAGCACAGCCCTCAGGACAGGGGGAGCACAGCCCTCAGGACAGGAGGAGCACAGCCCTCAGGACAGGAGGAGCACAGCCCTCAGGACAGGAGCACAGCCCTCAGGACAGGAGGAGCACAGCCCCCAGGACAGGAGGAGCACAGCCCTCAGGACAGGAGGAGCACAGCCCTCAGGACAGGAGCACAGCCCTCAGGACAGGAGGAGCACAGCCCTCAGGACAGGAGGAGCACAGCCCTCAGGACAGGGGGAGCACAGCCCTCAGGACAGGAGGAGCACAGCCCCCAGGACAGGAGCACAGCCCTCAGGACAGGAGCACAGCCCCCAGGACAGGAGGAGCACAGCCCTCAGGACAGGAGGAGCACAGCCCTCAGGACAGGAGGAGCACAGCCCTCAGGACAGGAGCACAGCCCTCAGGACAGGAGGAGCACAGCCCTCAGGACAGGAGGAGCACAGCCCTCAGGACAGGGGGAGCACAGCCCTCAGGACAGGAGGAGCACAGCCCCCAGGACAGGAGCACAGCCCTCAGGACAGGAGCACAGCCCTCAGGACAGGAGCACAGCCCCCAGGACAGGAGCACAGCCCCCAGGACAGGAGGAACACAGCCCCAGCACGGGGGGGGGGGAGCACAGCCCTCAGGACAGGAGGAGCACAGCCCCAGCACGGGGGGGAGGGAGCACAGCCCCTATGCTATGCATCTACATGCACGCACTGCATGTCACACAGCAGTGTGTAGTCCTTGCGAGAAACAGGAGGCAGCCAGCCAAGGACACAGAGACGCCCTGGAGCGATGCCCTCTGTAGGCCATAGGAGCAGCTCTGACAGCCACAGACGTCTCTTGCTGCCTTGAGCAACATGTAGGAGGGGACTCAAAGCAGCAGGCACTGCTGACACGGCCAAGGCCAAGGCCACGGGATGGCTGCAGGACCAACCACCCAAGCTGCACAAGCCAGAGGTGTTATCCACCATGGGCATGGAGGATGCGTCCTGGAGCTGCACACAGCCCAGTCCTGCACAGCATGGAGACTTGGGAGCGCCCCCTGCTGCCTCTGGGACCGCCACTGCAACTCCTCCAGGATGCCTGCACCAGTCGGCTGTGCCCAGACACCACGCCCCGTCCTCACGGGCAC